GGGACTTCTCCGGTATCCTGGAAGACGAAGAAGCAAACCACTGTTGCCAGATCGTCTGCAGAGGCGGAATACAGGGCTATGACAAATGCTTGTGTGGAGGTCCGTTGGATGCGAGGGATTCTCCTCGCCTTGGGAGTTCCTATTTTATATCCTCCCCGATTATATTGTGACAATCAGTCAGCTTTGTATATTGCAGCTAATCCTGTTTTCCATGAACGAATGAAGCATGTGGATGTTGATTGTCACACCGTTCGAGAAAGTGTCCAGCGACATGAGGTGTCGACAAGATATGTCCCCACTCGGTACCAGTTGGCCGATATTTTCACTAAGCCGTTGGGCAAACCTAGTTTTGATTTTTTGTTGTGCAAGTTGGGCATTCAGGATCTTCATGCGCCAACTTGAGGGGGAGTGTTAGCGGATATTTGTATTTAATTGTATTTTTGTATTGGGCCTCGTGTAACCCTAGCCCGTCTCGTGTAAACTTGTATATATACGGTCTTGGTTGTTCAATGAAAACAGATCAGTTTTACTCTAAATTTTTTACACAAACATGTCAATATAAAATGTAAAAAAGAAAGTGAAATGTCAAGATTGCCAACATACAATGTCAAGTTTCTGACTACTATCACCAAGTTTTGCTGAAATTGGGAGTAAAATTTAAACACAACTAATAGGAAAATAATCAAACAAAAATATTAAAAGGAAAAACAATCAAATACATAAATGAAAAGAAAACACCAAACCAAAATCAGTGCCTAATGAAGATACAATTTTTCGGAGAAAAAAAAGGATGAATGCAATTAGTTGGAAATATTTTTTACTTCTACAATGCAGTCTCAATTATAGAGTATTTGGAAGCTAATTAAAAATCAAAATTATAGTCATCGTGACTGGCGGTAATCTCAGATATGATGGACATAGGCGGTGTGATAGATCTGCAAGGGGGGAGAGATAGAGGCGACGCTCCATGGCGGATCTACATGGGATGCTTCGTGATAGATCTACAAAGGGGGAAGCTGGTGCGGCGACATTGTAAGGAGTGGGGGCGGCGGTGATGTACCGCATGCACTTGTGCTGGATTTGACGGAGGCAACGCTTCAAAATGGTAAGGGTGGTGGCCAAAAATGAGAGAGAGGGAAGAGAGAGAGGCATGGTGGGAAGGCCGTGAGGAGATGGACGTGAGAGAGAAAAGATTAATTAGAGATTTAATACTATTTATGAGGTTTTCTTTATTACTTAATTAATTACTCCTATTTAGAGGAGATTAAGTTTGAGCTCCTATTTTGTGGATATGACATATGTTTTACTCCTATTTAGGGGTTTTTCTTGATATATATTATTTGAAACATGTAAGTTAAATATAATTAAAAATATGTGTAATTTTGAAGTATACATATGGACATATATATGTCTTTTTATTTTTCTAATTGATGCTTTAAGGTGCACTCCTGCTTGTGTTTTTTCATATTTTAACACTTTTATGCACTCGAACTCTAATGCGCTTTGGCGTTATGTGATCTAGCTCAGAACATAACGTTAACTTTTAATGTCAAAACTCAAAAGAACTATTTTAAAATATTATCTTCGTCTGAGTGTATTTATTTAGTTTGATTTTTTAAAATCAAGGACAAAATTTGAGTTTCAGTTATTCTCAATTTATGTTACATATTACTTCCTCAATGCTACAAAACATTTCTGGTTTGATTTTTAAAAGATTTAAAGAGAGTATATTTTGATGTTGATTATCCATAAATACCTTTGGATGTGATGAATAAAAATAGGTTGTGATTAATAGATTAATAATAAAAAGTGTGATGTAATAGGTACATTAAAAATTAGTATAGGTAAAAATGACTTTCAATGTAAATGTGAAAGGTTTTTTAAGCGGATGAAAAAAGAAAACAGAAAGGTTTTGTGGGACAAAGGGAGTAGTACAATGAAATAAAGTTTTAAAATATTTTAATAAGATAAATTTAGTAAAATCATTTTTATACTAATATACATAATAATTTTTGTTTAATTAAAGCTTAAAATTCATCTTCATTAGAAAAAATCAAACACAACAAATAAAGTAATAGTAAGAGCACTGGTAATGGTCATGAAGCCCCGGGGCTTCAAACTTTCTCTCTCTGCCACATCAGCTTTAACTTACACCAAAAATTCACTGGAAATGGTTTTGAAGCCCCGGGGCTTCAAACTGGGGCTTCAAACCTTCATTTTTTACATTTTTAAATATACATTTTCTAAAATTAAATTAATAAAATGTAATTAATTTATTATTTAATTAAATTGAAACACGAATAATAAAAAAATACATTAATTAAATAAAAAAGCGACAATAATTTAAAAAAAGATACATTAATAAAAAAACTAAGGTAAATTATATTTCTCCTTGATCTCTCTCATTCTTTGCTTATAGATCATTCGTCCAAACTCCGACAACGTCCCGGGGTCGGTTTGCATGACTTTCATCTCGGCCTCCTGCTCCTTTAGCTTCAACTCCTTCTCTTTTAGCTTCAACCTCTCTTGTTCTTGGAGATTGAATGCCCGAAGTTGTTCAATCATTGCCCGGCCGATTTCGTCGCGGGGAGAAGCGGAAACAGAGGCGGATCCTCCCGAACCAGAGGCAATGGATTTTGCCTTCTTTCTTCCGATCGGCCGTGGAATGGGGTCCTCGTCATCGGAATCCGCAACGTTGAAGGGAGGGATTTGATCGGTGGAACCGATAGTCACGTCGACCTCAACCTCGGCGTCGACAGTGGATCTTTTCCGGAACGATTGTTGAGTTGTTTCCACTTTGGGGAACGACTCAAAATCCTCCAAAGATCGATGGGCACCTTGCCTTGGTTCTCGTCGTCTTGATACCGGGTCGTGGCAAGTCGGAGAACATCGCCGTCGTTCGTTCCGCTCCTCCGGGACCGGGAGCATTCCTCGTAAACTCCCATAAACTTTCGGACTTTTTTGTTGATGTGGCTCCATTTGGAAGTGAGTTGGTCCCGGGTTCGGTAGGAGCCGTCCTTCTTCATCGCCGTGAAGATCTTCTCCTCGATACGATCCCACATCGCATCCTTCGTTTGCTCCGTACCTTTAAAAATGTATTACACAATTTTTCTAGACACCATTAAATATAATATATATAAATAAAAACATAAATATATTAGAAAAAATAAATTTTTTACCAATGATAGGATGCTCGGAGACGTCAACCCAAGCCGATGTCAATATGCACTCCTCCTCCGGCGTCCACTTTTGGATTGACCGTGCCGCCTCGGTCAACGTGCTTTTGGCTTTGTGGCTCCTCCGGCGTGTACTTTTTTTCGATCCGGACGGTTCCGGTTGAGTCTCCGGAACCGAATCTCGGTCGACGTACCCCGATTGTTGTGTCTCGTACATCGGCGATCGATCGCCCAACTCTTGGTAATACCACATCGCAGCGTCGACGGGCGTGAGATTGTCGGGAAAGAAGCCGGAGCCGGAAGGATTCATGTTGAAAATTGGGAGGGGGTAATTTCGAAATTTAAAATTTGGGAAGAAGAAGAGATTGAAGATGGAGAAGATGTGAGAGATTGGGAGGGGGGAGGTTTGAATTTGTAAGATTTTTTTTTTTTTTGAAATGGGGTGCAACGGCTATAAAGCCGTTAGGGAGGGGGAGGGGAATGGAATAACGCCGCGTCATTCCTTTGACGCAGGGCCGATCACGCCCGGAGGGGGGCGGTGTTTAACGCCGCCGGGGCGTTAAACGCCCCATCACGCCAGCGGGCGTGAAGCCCATTACCAGTGCTCTAAATAAACTGTTTAACGAGTGCAATTCAGTGACAGTGTGGACCGTAAATGGAGTGCCAAGTCCGTCATTAGACATTAGAAAATGTAAACACATACGAATATGTCAAAAGGTGGGTCCAGTTGAGAGGTTGGGGTCCACCAGGTTAAGACCAAAACGCAATCCTGCGCATACAAAGGTCTTGTTTGGTATCAGCGTTAGAGATTAGCGTTATCGTTTTGAAAAGGCTATCTGACGATAGCTTTTAGCGTTGGCGTTTTCCAAATTAATTTACACCGTTAATATTTTATCCAAAACGCTAACGCTAATTGAAAACGCTCTTCCCAAACAAGGCCAAAGTCCAGTGAACTTATAATGCCAGCTTTTGAAAATATATATGTCTTAAATTTGATTACAAATTGGGATTTATGAGTTAAATTCTCTATGTTTTATACGAGTAATTATTTTATCTTTTGAAATTATTTTATTTGTAAATTTCTTACGTTATTAAAAAAATAAAAATTACATATTAAAAAATTATATCAAAAGTTTTACAAAATAAAAGTGACAATAATATTTCATTTTAGCAAATAATTAATAAAAATATACAAAAAAAAGAAAGAAAAATTAGTGATATGTGAGAGAAAAAAATTATAATCAAAATCGGAACAAAAATAGCAGAAAATGAGCAAGAAAATTATGCAATATTGGCAGTTTCTTTTACCATCATCTCTGTACATATTTTTTGTATGTGGTGTTGCTGTCAAAAGAGGGGAGTGTGACTTTTTGATGATGAAAGGCGTGAAAAAAGAAAAAAAATAAATAAAAAAGCTCTCAAATTCTTGCAAATGAGAAGGAATCCACGTTGCATATGTGACTTTAGTTTTGTCTAGGACTCGTTACTGGCCCCAGCTGCCCGCCCAACTCACAATAACAGCTAAACCCAAAGCGCTTAAAATAGCTACACTAAAAAAAGCTTTTTTTAGGGTTGGAAAAAAGCGTGATGTTAAAAATAACTGGAAAAATTAGAAGAAACGAAAAAAACTAAAAAAAAAAATTAGAAAAAATGGGAAGTGCTTCAAAATCTTTTTTAAGTGCATTTTATACATTATTCTTATTATATTTGTTATTGTTATTGCTGTTGTTGTTGTTGTTATTATTATTATTATTATTAATATTATTATTATTACTATTATTATTATTATTGGTAAAGTAAGTGAATAAAAATTGATCACATGAATAGTCTACATGTCATTTAATTAGGGACACGGGAATTAGTATAATTAATTTTTTTAGTTTAAAATATAGATGTCTTTTCCAGATCAATTTAGATGAACAAAATAACACTTTTTTTTAGTTTAAAACGTGACATGGGATAAAATAAAATTTGAAGAATCAAAAAATAAATTATAGTTATGAACTTAATAAAAATTATTATTATTATTATTATTATTATTATTATATTTGAAAACCACATCTTCTGACTTCTAAGAGTCATTATTTAGGAAGTATAGAGAGATTGGAGAAAAGAGGAATATTTGGAAAAACTTGGAAAACTGAAACAAAAAACTAGAGTAAACTGAAAAAACTGAAAAAAAATTGGAAGGAACTAAAAAAATGGAAGAAACTGGAACTTAAAAATTTAAGTTCTAAAGAACATACTCTAAGACTATCGGTAGCGCTCCACCAACGCTCACTCCAAATTAGTAGCCACTCAGCAACAGATCAACGGTGACAACACTTACCATTTCACTTACTTTAAACCTGTAGCGATTACAATTTTATTTTTTTAAATATTTACCTATTTCTATTCAAATTAAATTCCATCTTTTATAAATTAATAATATAAATTAATTAAAATATATTTTCGAGTTTATTTTATTTTTATTTCGTTATTTATTTCTTTTCCCGTTTTGGATTGATTTTTTTCTATTTTTTTCATTACAATTAAAAATAGAGCTTGTTACTTAGAGTATAAATTCTTAATTTCTAGTTTTTTCAAATTTTTTCTACTTTTTCCTGTGAAAAAGATTAAAGTAGGAGTAAAACATTAAAAATATATCAAAGTAGGAGTTTCACGTTTTTTATTCCTAAAATAGGAGTCAAAACACATTTATAGTGCCAATAATGACCATATACATTAATATAAAGTATCATTAAAGGCTCATATATAGTGCCACTATACAACAATGGTGATAAAAACATAGAGCTTATATTTTGGTAATTTCTCCATGATTTACTTCTACTTAGGATGATTTTTTTTCCCACTTTCTTCCAGAGTTTATAGGTTCTTTTAGTTTTTTACATGTTTTTTTTCAATTTTTTCTAGTTTCTTCTTATTTTTCCAGCTATACCCATTTTTACAATCTTTTTCTGCTCCCAAATAATAATTATAAGAATAAATTATTTTTTAGGTTTTACTATTATTATTATTATTATTATTTTAACTATAGTTTATAAATTATTTCAATTTTCTATTTTATTTTTCCCATGTCGCTATTTTGTGTTTCACACTCATTATTATTTTCTCTCTCATTTTCAATATAAATAATACAAAGTGCATTTTTATTGCGATTTTTTTAAATATACATAACACTAAACTATGTTCTAAAAATTATGGATATTTTATTAATCTAAATTGAACTAAAAAAACACCAATATTTAAAATTAAAAAATAATAATTATACTACTCTTTTTGTCCCAAATCACGTGGTCAAATTCTATTGAATTTATTCATTTTTTCTTTACCTATTATGAATATAATAATTATTATTATTAAAAAAATACTATTTGAAATATATTTAAATAATTTTTTATAAATATTTTTCTAGTTTGTTCCAGTTTTTTCTTACATTTTTATTTTCTTTCAGTTTTTCTAGTTTTTCCAACATCTAACAATTTTTTTCAGCCCTAAAGAACAAACTCTAACTTAGTCTCTTCAACTTATTCTTAATTTCTTATTACTTACGTAGTATAACTTATTATTCATTCAGACCAGACCAGAATAAAAATGGCTTAAAATATAATTATAATCATATCAGACCAGATTAGATCAAACCAATTCAAATTATCCTTCCCATAAATGGGAAGAGAGCATTTGAATCAGTTATTAGCTAATAACCAATTCAAAAGCCCTTTCCCATTTCTGGCAAGGACCATTGAATCGGTTATTAGCTTATAACCGATTTAAATAATAATTTTTTTTACAGATTTGTTTGTTTGCTTACAATCCACTTCAATTTCAATTTTGCACAGAATTCTTTGCAAAATTTACAAAATAAACAACAATTCAACCTATAAACACAACAACTACAAACAAACCCAACAACATAAATATATTCACACGGCGAGGGGAAGATGGCGCCGGCGACAACGAGGCGGAAGACGGCAAGGAGTTGGGCAACGGAAACGACGTGGCTAGGAGCACGACAACGGAGAGGAGCACAGCAAGCACAACAAAGAAGGGTTTGGAGGTTTTTTTAAAAAAAATCGCGTAAGGATAAGGTATTGGAAGCTGTGTTTAATAGCCTCATTTGAATCGGTTATTAGGAGTAACCGATTAAAAAAGCTAAGCGGTTGGCGATTTTTTTTGCTTTTAAATTGTTTATTCCGCTGAACGATGCAAATAAGACGATTAATTTGGTCGTTTTTGTAGTAGTGGCATTACGAGATTTGGACACTTTTATTTTCAGTTCAATTTATTTGATTGTAAGTGTAAAATATAAAAAGAAAATTTATATAATAAAAAAACTATGTAAAAGATTTTACAAATAAGAATCAAGAATACTACTCCCTCTGTCCACCATAGATCTTCCCAGACACTATTCACAGGGTCAAACTTTATTCACTTTGAAACGAGTAAAAATGATCAGTAAAGTATTTTATTGTATCAGAACAGTGGAGATCAAAACATCTTAAAAAGTACATCAAATAATGATATATTTAAAATAAAATTTTAAACTGAGGATATTAGTTAATTTAACTTATGAAAATAAAGTCGGTCAAGCCTCGTAACGCGTAATGGGAAGATCTTACATGGACGGAGGGAGTATATTATTTTATGAAATGAATAGTAAAAATAAATTTATGTAATACAGAGTATGTAATATTGAGAAAAATCTATGTGGGGTTGTGGAAAGGAAGGGGTACATGATAAGATCTGTGGACTTTGTGTCCTAGAGGTTGGCGAGTCGTTGATTGCAAGTTCAAGAGTTGCATGTGTCTTGTTTTCTAAAAATTGGATGTTCATTTCCTCGTACATTTGATCCAATCTACCATTGTTGAC